ACTGGAAAAATAATTACGTTTTGTTTCTTTTTGTAAAAGTTAAAGGACATTTATTGTCTTTGCGATTTTAGTTGCTTTAGTTTTGGCCACCAGTGTATATTTCATCCGATTTGGTGTTTAAGTCCCTCAAATTCGTAATATGCATGATATTTGGTACCTGATATGAGATACAGGCTACAACAATGATATTTGGTACCTGATATGAGATACAGGCTAGATATACCTCTGACAAATTTTATCAAGATCGGTTCAGATTTGGATATAGATCCCATATATATCTTCAACCGATTTCGGGTTAATTGTTCACCAAATGGGCAATATCAGTCCTAAAGTTCTGAATTTCGGTATATCCGACCGAATTCAGTCTAGAAGCAAGCACATCAAATTTGGAAAAATTGTCTCAAGTATCGCAATAGCTCCCATATATATGTTTCAACCGATTTGGTGTTTAAGTCCCTCACATATACAGCGTGAGATAAAAAAAAGCCGCAACAAAGCCAAACGCCATAATTTTTACATTTTTTATCATTTTTTTTTTTTGAATGAAAGCAGAAAATGTCGGAAATAGCATAACATTTTAGAATAAGTTTAGATTTGTTCGAATTGGTCACCTTTGGCACGAATTATGGCCTTCAAACGGCCACACGCCCGAATGTTGCTCTGCAGTATTTTGGCCCATTCCCGGCGTAGCGCTTGCTTGATGTGATCGACAATTTGGTATTTTTTAGTGCCAACCTTTCTTTCCACAATACTCCAGACACAATAGTCCAACGGATTGGTATCCGGTAATTTTTGGTGGCCATTGTGCATTGGAAATGAAGCGAGGAACCTCATTTTTAACCATTCTTGGGTGGCGCGTGCCGAGGGTGATGGTGCTGAGTCCTGTTGGAATGTCCAAGGTCTGGCTTTACCCCGAGATCATTTTTCAATATTTTCCGAATGGAATATTGCGATATGTTCAGCTCACGAGCCATTTTTCGGCCACTGCGACGCGGGTTTCGATCAAGTCGCTTCTTTACTTTTCGAACTATTTCTGCTGATGTTGCTGTTTTCTTCTGTCCACTTCCTTGACGTCGGGCTACACTACCAGTATAACCGTAACGAGCGATGGTACGAGACACAAAAGATCTATTCACATTTAAATATTGGAGTGCTCTAACGATAGCCACTTGTGGTTTTCCAGTCAAATATAAAGAAATCACGCTATCACGCTCGAATTCCATCACGAATAATTTTTTCTGAAACCAAATTGTAACTGCCCTAAAGCCAACGGTTAATAGGAGGTATGATCTGCTTGAAATAAATTCATTTGTTACGGGATCATATAGTCGGCACTGCCCAACGTTTGCTTACACTATGTGTTGGGGGTATTATAAGTTCGATTGGGCCAAAAATTATGTAACACCTCGAAATATTGGTTTCCCACATAGGAAAGTATATATGGATCTTCCCATCTCGCCGAGCTGAGTCGATCTAGCTAAGTATGTCCGTCCGTCCGTCTGACCATGTTAATTTGTAATCACTCTACAGGTCGCAATTACTCTATATGGTCAGATCCTCACGAAATTGGAAACGGGCGTGGGGTTAGGATACGAATAGAACCCTATTGTTTTTCGAAATGATCGCATAATATTTAGGGGTTGAAATGGACGAAAAACTAAAAAAATTTCCTGATTTTGCTGTTGCTCTACAGGCCGCAATTATAGACCAATCGACGCGGAAGTTAGCATGACGCTAGAGCTTAGGGCTTTTCAGAAGCCTTCCAATTTTTATGGCCATCGGGTAATATTTAGTGGGTGAAATAGAACATAACATTTGTGTTAAAGAAAAGTCAAATTTTCCATTAAACCGCTAATAGATGAACAGGTCAATTCTGACCGTTACGTAGATGCCGATGGTAAATATATCGTCCGATCCTCACGAAATTTTTTACAAGGGTAGGGTTAGGTTCAGAAGGGCTAGGCCTATTGTTTAGAAAAATGTCTGCAATATATTTAGGGGTTGAAATGGACCAACAACTAAAAATGCTCCTGATCTTACAGCCGTTATAAAACTCACAAACAAAAAGCGAAAGACACGAAATCACGCATGAAGTAAAAGTTTAGAATAGCGGGTAGAATGGACAACTCTTTTTGTGTGAAAAAAGACCAAAATACACAAAAGGCGAACTTCTGGCTTTTTATACCCTACACCTCAAGGTGGTCAGGGTATTATGTCTTTGTGCATTTGTTTGTAACAGGCAAAAGGAAACGCGATAGACCCATAGTTCCTCTTAGTGATCTGCATAGGATCACTTTCTGAGTCGATTTATACATGTCCGTCCGTCTGTCCGTCTGTCCATGTATTTTTGTAAACAAAGTACAGTTCGCATTTACTGCCCTATCCAGATGAAATTCTGCACAAATCATTTGTATGGCTCAAGGACGAACTCTATTGAAATTGGGGATAATCGATTAAAATTTAGATATAGCTTCCATATATATCTTCGTCCGATTTGCCTATTATTATGCACCAACATGTAATATCAGTCCGAATAGTATGGAATTTTGCACATACAACCAAAAAAAGGCCTGAAAATAAGTATGCCAAATTTGATCGAAATCGGTTCAGATATAGCTATAGCTCCCATATATATTGTTCATCCGATTTGTTATTTTTGTCCTCCGCAGCCGTAATATGCATTCTGTAACAACAATAATTGGGGAAATATATCAAATACAGCTCAGAAATACCTTTACTAAATTTTATCGAGATCGGTTCAGATTTGGATATAGCTCCCATATATAACTTCATCCGATTTGCTTTTTATTGTGCACCAAACGTCTAATATTTGCCTAAATGGGATGGAATCGAGTCTAGAAGCTAGTATGTCAAATTTGGTGAAGATCGGTTCAGATGTAGCTTTAGCTCCCATATATATTGTTCATCCGATTTGTTGTATTTGTTACCCACAGCCGTAATATGCACTCCGTAACAACGATATTCAGGGAAATATATGAAATATAGCTCAGAAATATATTTGCCATATTTTATCGAGATCGGTTCAGATTTGGATATAGCTCCCATATATATATTTACCTGATTTCAAATTAATTTTGCACCAAATGGGTAGTACAGAATACAAATGCTTCGGCATATTTAGTCCTTTGAACTTTAAATTATAATTATAATCATAGCGTGTATGATTGAATTCTCCCATAAAAACTTTTAATTGTTATGTGGAGCTTTACTAAGTTATCAAAGTGGTGTAGGGTATCTTAAAGTCGGTCCCGCCCGACTTTAGGACTTTCTTTACTGGTTTCAATATAATCCTTCTCGAAGTGATATAATGCACTCTATAACAATATTATTTGGTACAAAATATTAAAAAGTCCCCGTCTAATTTAGTGAAAGTCGATTCAGAATTGGATATGCCTCCCATATATTCGTTCCCTCTGGAACCAAATTGTAACTGTTCTAAAGCCAAAGGGATCATATAGTCGGCACTGCCCGACTTTTGCTTACAGTTTTATTATACCCTACAACACTATGTGTTGGGGGTATTATAAGTTTGATTGGGCCAAAAATTATGTAACACCTCGAAATATTGATTTCCCACATAAGAAAGTATATATGGATCTTCCTATTTCGCCGAGCTGAGTCGATCTAGCCATGTATGTCCGTCCGTCCGTCTGTCCGTCTGTCCATGTTAATTTGTAATCACTCTACAGGTCGCAATTATGGCCCGATCTTCACGAAATTTAGAATGGAGGTAGGGTTAATGCCAGAATAGAACCCTATTTCTTTTGGAGGTGATCGCATAATATCTAGGTGTCGAAATGGACCAAAAACTGAAAAATTTCCTGATTTTGCAGTTGCTCTACAGGTAAATTATGGACAAATCGACGCAAAATTTTACATGGAGTTAGAGTTTGGGAGTGGGCAGAAACCTACCAATTTGGGCGGCCATCGGACAATAATTAGCGGGTAAAAAAGACCCTAACTTTTATATAAGAAAATAGGAAAATGTCCACTAAACCGCGAATATTTTCAATCCCAGCCAAGTGACAAATACTTTAAAAGATCTCTTCTGACCATTACAGAGATGCTAATAGCCAAGAAATCGAATGTATAGCAAAATAGGAACAATATATATGTAAAAGAATTGATCTTATTTATTCTGCTTATAAATCAAGAACCGCTGGGCCGATTTTCACAATCCCCATCAATTCGGAATGGCCTCTTGCCAGAAAATGATAATATCTAAGAAAATCGCGAAAAAATATACCAATAAAAAAGTGAATATCTTTTGTCGAATTTTTTCAATTTTTGTCATATTTTTTATCGCATGCGATTTTTTCAATTTGACTCACAATTTTGAATCGTAAATTTTCTAAATTTGTACACCCTTCAACACTACGTTTTGAGGATATTATATGCATGTCGCAACAATCGTCCTATCCTCACGAAATTTTGCATGGGGGTAGGGTTAATTTCAGAATTAAAGCCTATTGTTCTTAAGATGTACATTTTGAGGTGCTAATTTGGTAGTCGCTCTATAGGCCACAATTGAAAACTAATCGACATGGAATTTCGCATCGGAAGAGAGTAAAATGGACTACAACTTTCGTTTGAAATTGTTTTGAATAATTACAAAACTACGGACTGTGTAAATATTGGCCAAATTCTCCGGGCCAAAAAAAACTAAGGGTAACCCCTGGGCGGGGGGTAACCCCCTTTGACATGGATATAAGGGGACTTCGAACATATTGTAGTGTTGTAGGGTATCACATGGTCGGCCCCGCACGACTATAGCCTTTGCTTACTTGCTTTTTATTTTTTTTTAATTTCCAAATTTCTTCCAAATAGTGAATCCAAATATTAAAAGTTCGGCCTGGTCGAACTTACGGTTTTTCAATTGTTTTTTTAGTTGGACGCGCATAACCTGCTAATGATGAAAAAAGTTCTTATGCCCCTTCCCCCCGTTTGGTCTTTATTTTGCCCCATAAAGAAAATAGCCGTTTTTAATGATTCTTTTATTAAAATAATAAAGCTTTTGTTTCATAGTTTCGTTAAAAAATACTACGCAATATAAAGTTAAAAGAAAACGAACAGAAATAAGGAAAAAACAAAACATTGATTTAAAACGAAAAAAAAAACATTTGAAAATAAAATTAATTACAGAGTCGAAATAATTCAAAAGAAATTAGAAGCGAAAGAGAAAAGAAATCAAAGAAAAATAATTAAATATTTGTACACTTTTACATAGAATTGTGATTCATAATTTAAATTAAATTATACTAAAGACAATCATTAATTGTTGTTAAGAGACTTCGTTACTTTAGCATGGAACTAACGAAATTAACAAAGAGAGAGGCAAACTTAGAGGGTGTAAGGCTTGTCGCTTCAGATAGAAAAGGGGTAACTCTACATTAAATTAATTAAGTAAACAACGGCAGTCATCAGGAGAGCGCCCAACGAAATGCCAATGGCATTAGCACCGTCTCCACAGTAGTAGCTCTCACAATCGGCATTCAAGAGATGGCTATAACGATCCAGCACCTCGTTCCAGTTGCAGAGTCCGACCTTGCACCAACTCAAATCAACAGCATCTTGATTCAGGAAGAATATGGCCTTTTCCTTGTTTTCAGTATCGGCTTCACATTCATATTTGACAGCCACAAAGTTGGCGGCGAAGGGATCAATTTTAGAGGTGGCCCATTTACGATTGCCTTGCTGGTCATAGTTACTGGCCAAAAGTGGCACTTCATCCTTGTTAATGCCAAGGGCATTAATCAGAGTTTGTACACCGGTGGAATGTCCAAAGTAGCTGACAACATTGGGAGCCGTTTTGCTGCTCAAGTGTTTGAGCATATCTTGGGCGGCACGGCAGTTGAGGCGGGAATTGGCGGCATTGCCATAACCAGATTTGTAGAAATATCTTAAATCGTCTTCATATTCGAAAACGGTCACCTGTTCTGGGAGGAAGGCCTGTGGGAGAAAAAAATACAAAATGCAGATATAAGTTTTGGAAATTGTGACCTTTTGTGGGTTAGGTACCAGAAGGGGTCGGCAGATATATATCATCTTTACAACAGATCTTGAGTTAGCCACAAAAATATTTGAATGTGTGAAATTTGAAGAGAGTTAGATGCTTATTTCGCTTTCTTTGGGTGTTTTGTTTTTCAAAAATCTCGAGCCCTATGCGGGGGAGGTACCAGAAAAAATGGTCCGATCTTTACCATTTATATAACAGATCTTGTGTTGATGGGAATATTGAGATGGACCACGTCTGAATGGAATCGGATGTTGATTTCGCGTTTTATGAGTTTCATGAACATTCAAAATGTGGACCCTTTGTGGGGGAAGTACCGGAAGGAGTGGGCCGATATATTCCATCTTTACATCAGATCTTGGGTTAATAATGTAATTTGAAGACAATCGGACATTTACATTACATTTTATAAAAGTTTTAGCTATTCAAAATTCTGACCCTTTGTGGGGGAGATACTTGATAGAGTGGACCGATATTGTCCATTTTCACACCTGACCTAGAACTGATGCAAATATTAAGATTCGCAAAGTTGGAGCACAATCGGATTATCCTTTCTCTTTCTGTGCAGTAAATTATCTTCTTTGAAAATATTGAAAATTTGTGTGGGAGGTACCAGAAGGAGTACACCGATAGTGCCCATCTCCGGACTCGATCTAAGTTTGACAATAATATTATGATGTACAGAGTTTGGATCAAATCGGATACTCCTTTCGAGAGTTATCGTGCGCACCTGCCAGACAGAAAGACGGACAGACGGATATCGCTAGATCGGCTCCAAACCTAGGGTCTAAAACTGTTATTTCGATATATACCCTCTCTAGCCATATGGCTGAGGGTATAAAAATATTTGATGCAAAATTTAATGAAGGTCCAGCATTTATTTCCAATTTTATGCGAATATTTGTTAATAAAAATGTTGGGCCTTGTGTGGGGGAGGTACTAGAACGAGTGAACCGATATATCCCATCTTAACACCAAATCTTGTGTTGATAGAAATATTGGAATGTGCCGAGTTTGAAAGGAACCTGACGCTCATTTCGCGATATACGAGCTTCATGTTTTTTTTTTTTTTCAAAATTTGGATCCTTTGTGGGGAAAGTACCAGAAATAGTGCACCGTTCTATCCGTTCTCCATACGAGATCTTGTGTTGGTAGAAATATTGAGATGAGTGAAATTTAAAGAGAATCGGATGATTATTTCGCATATTATAAAAATTATAATTATTCAAAATTTTGACCCCTTTTTGGGGAGGTACATGATAGAGTGGGCCGATATTACCCATTTTCGCATCTGACCAAACACTTATAAAAATATTGGGATTTTCGAAGTTCGACAAAAATATTTCGATGTGCCCAGCCAGGCAGACCGACGGACGAACGGACGGACACCTCTAGATTGACTCCAAATGTCCTGAAACGGATTTGGCCCATATATACCTAGGATCTAAATCCGTTATTTCGATGAGACACGTTTTGGCCGTTTCAAATGATATATACCTTCTGTAGCCATAAATGCTTCTAATAAATAATACTTACAGCACACCAAACACTGGTACGATCCACCTGCCAGGCCTGTTCATAACGGCACATGTCGTACATCAGTTCAATATCGGAAGCATCCAAAGTGTATTTGAAGCTGTAAACGTTCAATATTAAATTAAAAAAAAATAAATAAAAATTAGCATTCTCCAACGTACCCCAAACGTGCTGATACATCAGCCAATGTTTTATTCCACAGAGCCATGTTGCGGAACTTATCCGATTCGGAACCTGCATTTTTATAATTCTGAGAACTCCACGATGTGCAATAGTCATAGGGGCGCAACAACAAATCTTTTTCAGGAATATCTTCGGCAACTGCTCCGCTATTGGCACCAAACAAACCTTCGGTGAAAGCCTTGAAACTTTCCGTTGTGCGTTGGGTGTCGGTGTGTCGGAACTGGAGGCAAAGGTGGATAAAAATACGTACTTTAGTGGCAGTCCAAAGTATGGCACTTGTCAACTTACCATAAAATGTTCGTGGTCATATTCCTTGATCAAAACTTCGGGGAAATATTTCTGATATGTTTTGGCTGTGCCACGCAAATCTTCATAGCCCTAAAAAAATATAAAAAGCAAGTTTGAATATTTAAAGTGTAACAAGTATAAAGCACATAAGTTCGGCCAGGCCAAAATTTTAATACCCTCCACTTCCATTTAGAAGGAATTTAAAAACGTTAAAAACATTTCGTCGAAAACTGCGGTTTAATTGGAATTTAAATGGAATGGCCACAGACCTTCAAATACGAGATTCGTCGGTCGAATAATGTAGCTAATATCATCAAAATACCGACAAAAAAAGAGGTACCGTTATATGTGGGGTATACGAAGATGTAGACCAGCATAGGTAATTTTCTGTCATAAGTTAAAGTATCCATTATGAACTTCAGATACGAAATATGGAACAATTCCGGTGAATAACGTCGCTAAAATCATAAAAATGCCGAATATCGGAGGGACTCATTATATGGTGGCTATATGAATACGTGGTCCTGCATTTGCAATTTTTAGTCATATGTTGTAATCTCCATTACGAACTTCAAATACCAAATTTGAAACAATTCCGGTGAATAATGTAGTTAAAATCATCAAAATACCGAATATCGGGAGGTATCGTTATATGGTGGCTATATGAAGACGTGGGTCTGCATTTGCAATTTTTAGTCATATGTTGTAGTCCCCATTACGAACTATAAATCTAATTTTGAAACAATTCCGGACTAAAATATCTCTAATGCCATAAAAATAGCGAATTTTGGAGGTACCGTTACATACGAAAACGTGGACGCTATACGAAAACGTGGACGTGCTTGATATGCAGATTCCAAGCGAGGATAAATGGAACTGAGCCAAACTACGTATAATCTGCCTGCGATATCTTTTATCTCCTCACACCATATCCTGCGTTAAAGGAAATGAAATTGATATGTGTAAAATTTGAAAAGAATCGGATGTTCATTTCGCATTTTATGATCATTTTGTTATTCAAAATCTTGATCCCTTTGTGGCGGAGGTACAAGAAGGAATGGACCGATATATCCCATCTTCACATCAGATCTTGGTTTGATAAAAATGTTGGAATCTGCGGAATTTGAAAAGAATCGGATGATTATTTCGCATTTTATAAGAGTTATAATTATTCCAAATTTTGACCCTTAGTGTGGGAGGGACATGTAACCTATATTGTCCATTTTCGGCCCAAACATAGCACTGATACAAATATTGGGATTTGCGTAGTTTGCACAAAATTTTATGATCCCTTCGTGTAATATTATTAAATTAAATTATAAATTAAATTATTTTCTGTGAAAATTTTGACCTTTTTTGGGGGAGGTACCAGAAGGAGTGGAGCGATATTGCCCATTTGCGAACTTGATCTAAGTTTGACAATAATATTGTGATATACCATGTTTGGATCATTTTGGATACTCCCTTCGAGAGCTATCGTGCACACCAGCCAGCCAGACACTCAGACGGACGAACATCGCTAGATGGACTTCAAATGTCCTGAAACGGGACCTAGGGCCCAAAACAGTTATTTCGATGAGGCACGCTTTTGCCGTATCAAATTGTATATACCCTCTGTAGCCATATTACTGAGTGTATAAAAAGGCTATCAGAGCAGAATTTTCTGCATACTACACGGCAGGCTCAGCTTGTTGGACTTTTTAAGGGCTGAAGTAATCTTCAACCCTCGTAGACGGAACATCGATTACATAACCATGAGGTTTAACAGCATTGATATACTGATTCCAAGCAGGGATGAATGGAACAGATCCAACCTACCTCTAATCGATCTTCCTATATATATATATTAGCGGATCAAAGATTGATAATGTCACGGGAGCTAGACTCTTCTGTGAGTAACTGGAAATGACGTACTTCTACAGCAGAGATCTTTGCGATCATGAAAGCGGTTAAAAAGTTAATAACAAGTAAAAAAAGCCGTGAATTCGACCAGGCCAAACTTTGAATACCCTCCACCATTTGGCGAATTTGGCAATTTTCCAAAAAAAATAAAATCCGTTAAAAATTCTGTTAAAATCTTAAAAATACCGAATGTAGCCGTTATATTAGGGTCTATACGACGATGTGGACCTGCATAGGCAACTTATGTCATAAGCCATTACATATTCAAATGCGAAACTTGAAAAAAATTCGGTGAATAATGTAGCTAAAATCATCAAATACCTAATATAGGGAGGTACTATTATATGGGGACTATACCAAAACGTGGACCCGCACAGACAATTTTCTGTCATAGGCTGTAGTATCCGTTACGAACTTCAAATACCAAATTTGAAACAGTTCCGGTGAATAATGTCGCTTAAATCACCAGAATACCGAAAATAGGTAGGCCCATTTTCAATGCCAAAAGTCCTGCTGGACAACGAATTCTTTTATCGGAGAAAACCAAATTCGGCAGTTCACCACTTTCAGCCTAACGAAGCAACTCTTTAGCTCTTTTGAGTCTATTTTCTTTCCGTTGCGGTGTAAGTTCTTGCACTTTTTTGAATTCCAATGGCTTTACCCCGAGCTCATTTTTCAATATTTGCCGAATGGAATATTGCAATAGCTCAGCTCACGAGCCATTTTTCGGCCACTGCGACGCGGGTTTCGATCAAGTCGCTTCTTGACTTTTCGAACCATTTCAGCTGACGTCTTTTTTAACGTCGGACTACGTTACCAGTATCACGGCAACGAGCGTACGACACACAAAAGATTTATTCACATTTAAATGCTGGAGTGCTCTAACGATAGCCACTTGTGGGTTTCCAGCCAAATATAAAGAGAGACAGACGGACTGACGGACATCGCTAGATCAACTTCAAATCTCCTGAAACGGATTTCGTTCACAGAGACCTAAGGTCTAAAGTCGTTATTCGGAGAAGTCGCCCTTTTGGTCCTAACAAATGACATATAACCTATGTAAACCTAAGAACTGTGCTTTATTGGTACAGAGCACTTTGCAGGCGCATAAAAAATTTAAGGGGAACTTTAACCACCTCTGAGTCAATCTCAGCCAAATTTAACGAAAAAAATCTAGTTCATTCTTGCGAGTTCTGGAGTATACCGGAAATTATTTATTATTGTCCTTTGTGATTAGATTTTGTTGAAAGTAATTTGTTTTGCCAATATTTATTAGATTCACATTGTATTTTATCATATCATTTGCGGTGACTAAAATCTTATCTCTTCAAAATAAATAATCAAATACTTGTCTATCACTACTTTTGGAGCTCTTAGAAGGAACCCCCCTTTAATGACCATTAAATTAAGAACTCTTCAAAAGTTGTTTATGTCAACGTTATACTTCACATGTCAACAAGTGATACGTCTATAGAATTTCGAAATAATTACGCGAGTTGATAGACCTTTTTATCAGGAACATTCAAATACCACGTGAATCAACAACTTGAATAGTAAATCTCTTGTAAAAAATATAGAAAACTATTTAGATCGTATCAGTCGGCTTAGCGACAGATAAATACCCCCAGCATATGGTTCGATAGGAGTGGGCCGATATATCGCAATTTGTATGAAATCAGCAGCAATATTAAGTTACACAAAATGTGATGAGAGTTGTTTATTTTTTTTATACCCTCCACCATGCATAGTATGGAGGGTATACTGAGTTCATCATTCTGTTTGTAACTCATCGAAATAATAATTTTAGATCCAACAAAGTGTATATATTTCCAAAACGATTTAGTCCTATCCAACAGACCGTGACAGAAAATTGTCTATGCGGGTTCAGGTCTTCGTATATGCCCATATTTCGGTACCTCCCTATATTCGGTATTTTGACGATTTTGGGGACAACATTCATCAACATTTCGAATTTGAAGTTCCCATATAATGGCTATATTCAAAATCCACGATTAAAGCCCCAGAGTCCTTCGAAGTCTTTTCAAACAAAATTCACGATTATAGCTCTAGAGTCCTTCGAAGTTTTTCCTAAAAGTTAAAGCTCTAGGATCCTTCAAAGCTATTCCTAAAGATTCCGCAATTAAAGCTCCAGAGTTTCTTAAAACTATACCTAATGAATCCACGATGGCAGTACTGCGTCTCGATTTAAGCTCTAGAGACCTTCAAAATGTTTCTTAAGATTTCAAAATAAAAGCTCTGGAGTTTCTCCAAGCTATTCCAAAAGAATTCACAATTAAAATTCCAAGGTCCTATAAAGCTATTTCTAAAGATTCCATGATAAAAGCTCTAGATTCCTTCGATTTTTTCCTGAAAATTTCACAATTAACATTCAGGATCCTACAAAGCTATTTCTAAAGATTCCAAAATTAAAGCTCTGGAGTATCTTAAAACTATACCTAATGAATCCACGATGGCATCACTATCCCTCGATTATAGCTCTAGAGACCTTCAAAATGTTTCTTAAAATTTCCAAATAAAAGCTCTAGAGTTTCTTGAAGCTATTCCTAAAAATTCCACAATTAAAATTCCAATTTCTAAAGATTCCATGGTTAAAGCTCTAGAGCCCTTCGAAGCTTTTCCTAAAATTATCACAATTAAAGGGTCCTACAAAGCTATTTCTAAAAATTAAATGAAAAATTTGTTCTAAATATTCCACAACTAAAGCTCTGGGATCCCACAAAGCAATTACTAAAGATTTCAAAATTAAAGCTCTGGAGTCCTTCCAAGCTTTTCCTAAAGACACCACAAATAAAGATTCCACTATTAATACTCGATAGTCTTCCAAAGCTATTCCAAAAGAGTATACAGTTACAGATCTTGAGTCCTGTAAAGCTATTTATAGCGATTTCATTATTAAAGTTCTAGGATCCAACAAAGCTGTTCCTAAAGATTCCCCTATTAAACCTCTAGACTCCGTCGGAGCTTTTTCTAAAAATAACACAATTAAATCAAGAGTTCTACAGAATTAGAGTGATAAGAGTTCTTAAAAACATATAGAGTCCTTTTAAAATATCTCTACAAAATTAGAACTTTACTCTAAAAGTCCTTCCAAAATATAATGGGAACTGTCTCTAATTAAATATTCAGGTCCATATTTAAAATCCTACATAAATTTCCGGTAACATAATTTTAGTCCTTTCTAAAAATTTCATGAATACCGATTTAGAATCGTTCCAAACTTCCTCTCATAGAATCCGGGCTTAAATCTTTAGAACCTCATAGACTTCTCTTAGAGAATCCACCATTACAACTTTGTTGGCCTTCAAAGCTTTTCCTACAGAATCCACGATTTCAAGTCTATGGGCCTTAATGCTTTCCCATTCAACTTTACAATCCATCGGAACCCCTCTCATAGAATCAGCGATTACAACTATATAGTATTTTACTCTATGGAGTACCAAAGCTTTTCCAAATTTTCCCAACTTTTTTTTTATTTCCACTCTATGAGGTCCCAACGCTTTTTCTATAGAATCTACGAATATAGTTATATGAATTCCAATAGTATCCATGATTACAACTCAATTGGTATTTAAAGCCTTTCGTGAAGAATCCCTGGTTACGACTCTAATGGCCTTTAAAGCTTTGCCCATAGATTCCAAGTTTTCAACTCTAGAATCCTTCAAAGCTCCTTCATATAAAATCCACGATTTCAATTCTATGGACCTTCAAAGCTTTTCCTGTAGAACCCACGATTCTAAAGATTGCATCAAAAACATTCCTATAGAATCCTCGATTACAGCTCTTGAGACCTTCTAAATGTTCCCTGTAGAATCAACAGATATATAATATATAATGCACATATCCTAGAAATATTTATTCCAAATCCCCAAATTTTTTTGTTGCCCTTGAAATTTTACGAAAAGAAAGTGTTCCCCCCATCCATACTCACTTGACTGGTCAAATAGTTTTCCATGTCATCGGTAATACTGGTATTCCATTTCCACATTTTCAGAGCAATCAAATCTTCCATGCACAAGGTACTCGTATTTGCGGGCAGATCCGATCTTTTGCCATAGTTGCCAGCAATTAAATCGCGCAACTGTTCCAAACGTGGAGCCTTCTGGATGGTACTCTTCGAGGGTAGTCTAGTTCCGTGTCTGTGGAAGATCCACATTTTCTGGGCCGTGCAACCGGGTACCAAATATTGTTTCTCAATATTTGAGCTCTTGGCAATTTGATAGGCAGTCTTTGAGGTGAAATGGCGTGTCTGCGGTCTCGAGTTATCCTTGCCGAAGCAATAGTCATCCTGAGCACCGATTTGTACAATGGCCAAGGCCAAAAGGCAGGCGGTGATGAGTGGGGATTTCATGGCTAAAAGGGAAGATAGAAGAAGTGGAAGCATAAATAAACCAAATCAAATTATTTAATATTCCTAACAAATAAATAGCTTTACATTCTCTGCAAAGAGGTCAAAAATCTCATTAGCCCAATGTTAGGTTATAATGTCGGCCAATCATCGTTCATAGTTTTTCTTTTTGTTATTTGAATAAATAGCTTCCTAATGTCTTTTTTTTTGTCTTCTCCCTTTCTCTCTGTCCCATTTTCCTCGTTTTGTGGGTGTAAATCTTTCGTTTGTTTTCCCCAAATTGCTGTGTGATTTAAATGGATTCGATGGCCCAGCAAAAATGTGTGATTAACACATTCTCCATTTGATTGACGAAGTGCTGCTCCCAGTTTCGAAAATCCTTAACGATTTTATTTCCACGTGCATGTGTGTATTGAGCACCCATCACAGGCAATTTCCAACATAGTTTGCATGTGGAAAATATTCAAGTCAAAGACAATTTCCAATTCCCTGGTGACTAGATGGCACTCCCTTCAGATTCAAAAAAAAAAAAAAAACACTCCATCCATACACCCACCTGGTCTTGTACATTCTGATAGGAAAATAGAACACGAACGCCTTTAAAGAGTTAATCAAATGGAGGGTGATTGCCAACACGTGCTTTATGTCTATCCGATATTCTTTGTTAGCTATGGGAATTTATTTCCTTGTTAGCCTGGCTTTTGATTGGCGATGGGTAGTAGGCATAGGCCATACAAAGTAATTAAAATTCTATAAACCATTAAAGGTGTGGAATCGAGGCCATAATTTTCGTCTTAAATTATTTATGTTTTTTTGCTCATTTTTAGTTCAAGGTTATTAAGATTAAATATTAACGATATGATTTTTCGAGGTTTTAATAAATAACGAAGGAAATTCCTGGATACTACAACAGATTCTTAAAAAATCTTAAGTTGACCCATCCATATCTATGAAAATATGGAAATAATAAAAGACTGGCGGGGTCGACTCGATTTGGTCAGATATTATGCATTTTATGGGCAGATGTATACCCCCAGCCCATGTCCGTTTATTCAAACATATTCTGAGTTGAGTTACGATTCTTCAAAATGTCTATCCTTTATGTGGGAGGTACCGAAGCGATGGGACAATTTAGTCCATTTTCGAACCTGACTTAAGGCTGACATAAATATGACGAGGAGCTAGTTTTTTTTTTTTTTTTTTTTTTTTGAAAAGTTTTAAACTTTTCTAAGTGGGTAGATAACGACGGCCGTAAGTAATCAATCCCAAAAAAAAAAAAAAAACAAAATCCACATTTTCAGGCAAATTATTTGGAAAATATTACCAGGATCCTAGAAATCACAAAAATCAGGAAGTATCATAATAAAAGGTTATATGTATTTGTGCAAATAACAACTCAAAATGAAATAATTCAAAGATCTCCATAAATTTTCAAGGCTCCATACTAAATGCTGCTACTCGATTGATGGTTATTTTCCCTTTTAAAATGTTCCTATTTGAACGTCACCATACCAACAGTGACTCTCAGTACTAGCTCTATACTTTCAACCAATATCAAATCTGGTAACATTTAGTAAATATATCCAAAACAATCTGCATCTTTCTAACCTAGACACCAACAGTGATCCCAAACTAATACCATTTAGAATTTTTCGAACAATTATTGTACGCATTTTCATACGCACCATCAGGTAGCAACAGAAACCTCAACATCAATTTTCGTGATTCCCACTCTTTACATTCACTCAGTATCAAATTTAGTAATCTTCGAATTTAGCACACATTTTCAAAACAATCTCCAGATCTCTTAGGCTCTGATACCAATAATGACCTTAATATTAAATTTCAGGATTTCAGCTCTTTTAATTCCCCCGTTACAATTTTGTGCAATTATAGTACGCATATCCAAAACCAGCTCCATATATCAACCTCATTTACCAACAGTGTCATCCATATCAAATTTCAGGATATCAGCTCTAGTCCTTCACCCAATACCAAATTTAGTACTATTTAATATTTTTCGTACAATTAAAGTACACATTTCCAAAACTACCTCCATATCTCAATTCCAAATACCAACGGAGACCTCAGTATGAATTTTATGATTTCAGCCTTATCGCTTCACCCAATATCAAATTTAGTACCATTTAGTACTTTTCGTACAAATGTAGGACGCATTTCCAAACCCACCTCCAAATTTCAACCTCAGATACAAACAGTTATCTGAATATCAATATTGCAGACTTTTATCTACATACCTTTAACGAAGAACAAACATAGTACCGTACAGTTTCAAACCTCCGCCAAATCCCAAACACAAACACCATCAGTAATCTAAATATCACATTTCAAAAAATTTAATCTCTTTTCTTTCACCCAATACCAAATATAGTACCTTTCAATACTTTTCGTAAAATAATAGAACACATTTCCGAAACCAACTCCATATGTGCAAGCCGGACTTGAATAGCAACTCTAGTAGCAAATTTTAGATTTCAAGCAGTATCTATTCGCTCAATACCAATTGTACCAAATATAGTACTTTTCGTACAATTATAGTACATATTCTCAAAACAACCACCCAATAAAAAATTTCAAAATTCCAGCTTCATCACTTCACCCCAAACCACACTATTCCAAATTTTGGTCCACTTAGTACTTTTTGAACAATTATAGTACACATTTCCAAAACTACCTCCATATCATAGACACAGACACAAACGTAAAGCTCGAAAATATTTTGTTATTATTTTTCAAAACAATAAATACATACCCAAAATTGCCAGAAGTCGCGACGCTTATGTCAAGGCCACTTTATCGCAAACCTGCCACCAATAGGGATCCCAATACAAAATTTCAAAATTCCAGCTTCATACGTTCACCGTAAACCAAAGAGTTCCAAATTTAGTACTATTTTGTTCAGTTCGCACAATTAGTACATATTTCCAAAACCATCAAACATACTTTCCAATCGTGATTCCCATACCAAATTTCAAGTCTTTAGCTTTATCCGTTTACATAATATCAAATGGAACTATTTTAGAAGTTTAGTACTATTTATGATACCAAAACCAAATTGTACCAAATATAGTAGTACTATTTAGTACTTTTCGTGCACTTGTAATACTTATCGCAAACCTGCCACCAACAGGGACCCCAACACAAAATATCAAAATTCCAGCTTCATCCGTTCACCCTAAACCAAAGAGTTCCAAATTTAGTACCATTTTAGAAGTTTAGTACCATTATAGAACTTTTCTTAACCTTTAAGTTCCAATTTCCAAAAAAACCTTTGCTAAATCTATACTGCACCCCATCAGTGACTCTCATTCCAAATTCTAGCTCATTCCGTTTGTCCAATACAAAGTATTTAAGTTTTTGTATATTTTAATAATTTTCGTACCCTCTCAGTTTAAAATTTTATTTCTATTTGCTTTGTAAATGTCGATATCTTCCATCTACGAACACGATCTAAGTTTGGTAGAATATTATGAAGGTATAATGAAACAAATAACGTTCACTAAGAGTACCACCATGTGAACCACCCTGTACTCTCGTGCTCAACAATGCTGTAGGGGCAATCATTTAAAATTACATAAATACCAATAATTGGAAATAGAAATTTATTAGCTTCTAAGCAAATAAAACGTTTATCATTTTTTTGTTGTGTTTTGCAAACAAATATAACATATCGTAGATCATCGTCATCATCGGACAATGTAGAAGACTATGAACATGAAATATGTAAGCGACCATATGTGCCTTTGAATAATCATGTTTGAATGCTATTGAAAGGGAGTGCAGCGAGAAATTCTTTTCTACAATAGGGTGGAATTAACTAAAACGAGAACGGATTATAAATGAGGCCTGCAAATAGATCGACGATTATCAACAGACCCTCTTTTACACTAACAAATCAAATGGTGTCATTACACCCTACACCATATAATGGTAAGGGTATTATGTCTTTGGGCATTTGTTTGTAACATGGAGAAGGATTCATAGTTACTTTTGAGGATCTTCATAGAATCACTTTCTCAGCATGTCAGTCCGTCCGTCCATCCATGCATTTCTGTGAACAAAATGCAGGCAGCATTTATAATCCGATTGAGATGAAATTTTCCAAACTATATTTGTTTGGCCCAAGGACGAACCCTATTGAAACTGGTGAGAATCAGTTCAAATTTAGATATAGCTCCCATATATATCTTCAATCAATTTTGGGTTAATTGTGCACCAAATGGCCAATATCAGTTCGAATGACCTGAATTTTGGCACATCCCGAATTCAGTCAAGAGCAACTAGATCAAATTTGGTGAAAATCGGTTCAGATAGCTTTAGCTTCCATATATACAGGATGAGATGAAAAAACTGCAACCAAATTCAGACCGCTGTCATTTCTTAGCCACTCGTCCGACAGCTGTTAAAATTATTCCAGTGACAGCTCATTATATTGTTTACAAGCGTCCACAAAAAAAGTTATTCGTGATGGAATTCAAGCGTGATAGTGTGATTTCTTTATATTTGGCTCTAAAATCACAAGTGGCTATCGATGGTTCGAAAAGTATAGAAGCGACTAGATCGAAACCCGCGTCGCTCGTGAGCTGAACATATCGGCAAATATTGAACAATGAGCTCGGAGTAAAGCCATTGACATTTCAAAAAGTGCAAGAACTTACACCGCAACAGAAAGAAAATAGACTCAAAAGAGCTAAAGAGTTGCTTTGCTTGGCCGAAAATGGTGAACTGTCGTTGTCCAGCAGTTTGTAAACAAACAAAATGATCGTGTTTACTTGCCAAAGAGGTCAGCTGAAAATGTGCACCTTCGTTTGGCCACCAGAACTCAAGCGCCGGCTATGGTGATGGTGTGGGTCCCCATAACAGCCGATGGTCGCTCTCCGCTCGTATTAATCGATCGTGGCATCAGAATAAATGCCGAATATTATCGCGAAAATTTCCAACAGGACTAAGCACCATCGCGCCACACACGCTTCATTTCCAGCTC